CCTGAGAAACAAACGCACACGCCACAGGATCTCGTCGACCGGAAGTTTTTGCACTTCCGTCTTCCGGGCAGAACCGACCCGGGACGTACGCACTGCACGCCGGGAGCCAAACTGTCTCAAGACGACTCGAGAGGTGGGATTTTGAAAGCCGGACCCTGACGAGCTTCCGACTTTGGTGTGAGCGCAGACCTAGAAACTTGGTCCGTCCTATACAGGTGTAGAAGTCGGATTTGGAGAGTGCAGAAGCGTGTCCCGGTCAAGGTTAGGTCACAGGGAGTTGCTTTCCGGACGTGGGTAGAGTAGCTCCGAGACTCTAACATAGCGAACGTGGCCAGGGTACCCTACTTGTCAGATAGGGAGCCCGGGACCGACCTTTAGATCTGGCCTTACGGCTTATGTGATACTCATCCAACTCTTCCTAGGTCAGGTGTTCTTCCAGAGGCCCTATTGAGATCATCTTTATTTGCAGTCTGTGAATTTTCTCATCTCGGGTGATGGCTTTACGGATGTACACACATGTCAAACCGTATCAAATAGCACACTTTAAATATGTGCAACTTATTGCATGTCAGTTATACTCAAAGCTGTTACCAAAAACAAAAAACAAGCTTTTCCCACCCCAGAGAAGAATTTAAAGGGTAAAATGATCAAAGGATTTCAGTTTTGTCAGTGTTTACCTGTCTGATCACTTACATATCAGACACAATACTAAGCCTAGGACGTTTGTCTTAGCTCACGAAGAACACTTACTTTACAAATATTTCTAATGGCATAGGCTTTGGAACCATATAGATCTGTGTTGTATTCTTCCAACACTTGTGAACGCTATGGATGAGTAATGTCATAAGAGCCTGAATTTCCTTGTCCCTAAAGTGAAGATAATACAACCTAATTGATGCTAGGTAGGTAATAAGAGTTCAACAAATGGTACCCTTTTTACATTATAGTTTGAAACGTATAGCTACACAGTACTATTTGTAAGCAGTGTTTCTAGAGATTTACAACATTTACCCAAAAAACAGGAAAGGAATTGTCTTTAATTATGGCCTGGTAAATTCCTGCTGATTGCTAGAAGAGAGTTCTGAGACAATCCATGGGTACCTTTTTTTTTACATTTGTGTCCTTTGTGAAGCCATGCATAGCATGGAAATTACTGAATTCAGAATATAGCAAGGTTAAAGAGGCTGAAAACGACTTAGAATATTTGATACAAAAAAGAAAGGAAGCATGGCTAAGAAATCAGATTTCTTTAAATGAGATTTCATTCTTATAAAGCAAGTGAATTTCTATTTTACAAGTAAACTGTATACTGTACCTTGTCTTTCAAATAAGAAGTTAGCTACCTCACCCAAAAATGTATGTGCACAGTGTATTTTAGAGAAAGCTCACTTTCTGATAGTCCATATTTACTGTATCTTGTTTAACATACCAGGCCAAGACTTTTGAATAGACACTTGGCACCAGAAAAAAATAATTTACCTATTATGAAAATGTCATATTGTTAAAATACATACCACGATTTAGCATTACAAATGCTTTAAAAAGCTGAATCATGGGCCAGGCACAGTGGCTCACACCTGTAATCCCAGCACTTTGGGAGTCCAAGGAGGGCGGATCACAAGGTCAGGAGTTTGAGACCAGCCTGGCCAACATGGTGAAACCCCCTCTCTACTAAAAATACAAAAATTAGCTGGGTGTGGTGTCATGCACCTGTAATCCCAGCTACTCAGGAGGCTGAGTTAAGAGAATCACTTGAACCCGGGAGGCAGAGATTGCAGTGAGCCGACATCACGCCACTACACTCAAGCCTGGGTGGTAGAGCAAGACTCCATCCCCCTCTACCAAAAAAGCTGAATCAGGTACTTCATTATTGAAAAATATACCCTTTTACCCTTTTTTACTTATGTCCCTCACCAGTAATATAAAAGCAGTTCTAGAAAAGTGGCCTTAGTATATTTATAAGTCTAATTCATGCCTTTGAGTATGCACTCTATTATAGGCACTATATTCAATTTGCAAACATGAAGGAAACTAAACTACTCTTTTCAGGAAACTATATCCCCTAATGGACAAACAATGGTTAAGGGGCCAACTAGACATTGCAGAGGCTCCCCACAGAGCTGAAAGGAGCCTGTATATATAT